TCCTTTAAGTATAGGATGAATATGCTATTTCCATCTTACCACAAAAAAATATTAAATATTTAATTTGTCCATTTTGCTAGCAATAAATCTACATAAACCTCAATGCTTTCTTTAAGAAGCTCAGTGCTCAGGATGCAGACCTGAAGAGTTCTTATACAGTTTCTAGGTATATATGGCCATCTTGTGTTAAAACCAGAGAAATTCCAGGCCCAGAAAAGACATAAAATCATGGGTAGGACTGGGAGCAAGAATCAAATCTAATCTGCTTCACAAATGTGTCCAGGCTGTTTCCCCACAGGAATTTAAGTACAATTATTATTCTTTAAAGGAGTTATTCATTATACCATAATGGCATAATGAATAACTAATACAGGGCTGCTCAGAGGTCTCCTTTTTATCTCTTATTCACTGAGGTATTATAAAGACAAAACTGCTAAGTTCTGAATTCTGTATTAAGAGCATATTACAAATAATTGATGAACTATGTGATTATACTTTTGAATTATTTAGAGCTCTAAAGCATTTTAGAGAAGCATTACATTATAATAGAAGATAAAAATTACTATGATATATACAAAATTATATTGGAAGTCACACTTAGCAGTAAGTGGGGTACGAAGAGAAGGCACCAAATATTCTCTACCCATTTATGTATATAAGCCTTCCCTAAATTTTTCACAAGTGAAGATTTTTAATTTTCCTTCAAGTTTTAAGATCATTGGCTGGAAAGAGGGTGGGAAGAAGGGAAAGCGCTGTTGAGAAGGAGAGTCCCAGCTGCTGCCCCAGAAAGCGACCTCGGCAGCTGTCAACAGTAACACTCTCCTTTGCCATGGCATCATGACCGTAGTCAGCTGATTTTCTCTCTGCCATAGGAAACTGCTAGAAGATCAGTTAGATAAAGTATTAGGATAGACGGGTAGGAAGTATCTCATATTTGGCCATATTTCTTGGCTCTATTTTCCCACCTTAACCATGTACAGGCATGAATACAAGATGCAGGATTATAAATTTGTCATCACATAATGCTTAACAGTGCTTGAACGCCGTGGATACCTTGAAATATTTTCTCACCAGTAAAGTCTTTCTTGGTTGGTGGGCAGTTGTTGTCCATTTCAGAGCCATGTTTTAAAATGTCAGTATGCAAATGTTCCTTCCTCGCCCCAACTTCTTCTACTTTTGTTTCGATTTCTTCAGATTCTAAAAAGGTATCCTCATACTTCTCATTGTGTTCTGCGTGTTTGGCTGAATGTAGTTTGTTTATGATGCCAGAAGTTTTTTGTTCAAAACAAAAATTTGATCCTGAACTCAATGATCTTTCTTTTACAAGGCTCTTTTCTTCGTTGGTCACACTGAGGGTCTCACCACATGCTCCAGCATCAGAAATGCAGAAAGTTCTATCAAGCTGACTTTCTTGTGCAACAGGCTCACTTTCAGCATCTGTTTTATTACACACAGATTCTCTTTTGCTATCACTTTGAGCAAAACCTGAATGGTTCTTCCTGCATCCTTTTTTAGTTTTCTTCATTGGGGTTTCTTTCAAAATTGTCACATTTCCTTTGGGCTTTCTAACCTTTCTGAAGTGCATATTATCAACATCCTCATCTTCTTTCAAGAGCAAATGAGTGGAAGTAAACTTAGAGAGTCCTCTGCTATCCTGCAACTCTGAACTACTTCTTGGCAGCATAAACACATCCTCTTTGCACTTGCTTCGTGTCCTGAGGTTCCAGTTTGAATTGTTACTTTGGTTTTGAGGATTGGATGTCAGGGCTGACATGCTGCATTCTTTATATCTTGACTTGATGCCCCTTTTAGAAAGTACAGTAAAATCAAAATCTTCTGGTTTAAGAGAAGTCTCTCCATTTTTGTGAAGATAATTAGCAAGTGAACTTTTGGATCTGAACTTCAGTCCTTGTGGGCTAGAAAATGATATTAAAGGACACTTACTGCTAGCAAATGGAAGGGACTTTTAAAAAAACTGGATCACATTTCAGATTTCTAATTAATTTCCAAATGTTGCCATGGGCATCTGTTATTTAAAAATGAAAAAGTAATAAACGGCACTTTTAAACGGTTTCCTCTGACAATATAAAATAAATTTATAAATATAACTTAAATGCAACCTACCCATTAACCATTCACAGTATGAGGGACAAAATGTATGTAATGTTCCCCAAATTACTTGATATAATTAAATAGCGACATCGAAAGAATAGAATCTGCAAAGGTTTTATGGTAAAAATATAAAGAAGCCAAGATTCCTACTATGCTCCCACTATCTGCCCAGACAAAATTATTTGGCTGTACTATCTTTACCATCTTATATACTTACCTGATAAAGTATACATCAAATCTTCCTGCTGTTTTACCAAATAACCTTTGCTTCACAACTCTTTCCCATCCACGCGGGGCAGACTTATGGCATACCATCCCTGCAGTACCACCAAACTGAGCAGAAGCGATGGGTTCTTGTAGCAGGGGATTACATTCACTGCTTCTTTTTATCATCATTTGTTCCTCATCTTCTCCCACTCTTTTCAATTCCACAGTATCATCTTCCTTGCTGGAAAAATAAAGTCTAAGTGATTAACTTATTTAAAATTTATCTTCAACTGCCTGCTCAGTTTTAATCCATGACAATTCGGGAACCATACAGATTTTTCACATTAAAATGGAGGAGGAGACTGGCTGGGTGTGGCGGCTCACACCTATAATCCCAGCACTTTGGGAGGCCGAGGCTGGTGGATCACCTGAGGTCAGGAATTCGACACCAGCCTGACCAATATGGTGAAACCCCGTCTCTACTAAAAATACAAAAATTAGCCAGGCGTGGTGGCAGGCGCCTACAGTCTCAGCTACTCGGGAGGCTGAGACAGGAGAATTGCTTGAACCAAGGAGGCAGAGGTTGCAGGAAGCCACGATTGTGCCACAACTGAACTCCAGCCTAGGCGACAGAGTGAGACTCCATCTCAATCAATCAATCAATCAATAAAATGGAGGATATTAAAGTCAGTATGAACCAGTCTTATGCTAGTATTTTCCTATCCTCTGAAAGCTTCCCATATGCTACAGCACAGGTTAAAAAGTGTTGGAAATCTCTGCACAACAAAAAGGTCAAGCTAGAAAGTTTTTGAATTAATCACTGAGTAGGGCTATTATAAAGATTTCTGGGGTTACTTAGCATAAATTTGAGAATATGAACCAATAGCTGAGCTCTTAACCTGAGCTCTTAAGCAGCAGAAAATGCTTAAATATATCAGTCAGTCATGCTGACTTCTCTGCAAATAAGTGAGGTAAAGGTTTTACATAACATAAAATTTCTGGGAGAGAGTGTCTATCACTTTCATCAGATGTAACCCTCCAGAAGGTAAATAATTTCTGATACAGAATTTTTCAATCTTCTTCATTCTTGATCCTCATGGTAACCTTGTAGGTATAATAAGGTTTACTCTCAATTTGTTGATAAAATTGAGTGAAATTGATAACATGGACAGAAAGGTTAAATTACTTGCAAAACAGACACCAGAATCCAAGTCTACCAAATCTTGGTTAATACTTCTCCAACATACTACTATTGAAAAAAGTTGGCAAAGCAAGGTGGTTCATGCCTGTAATACCAGCACTTTGGGAGGAGGAGATGGGATGATCACCTGAGCCCAAGAGTTTGAGACCACCCTGGGCAATACAGCGAAACCCGTCTTTACAAAAAATGAAAAAAACAAGTAGCCGGGCATGGTGGCGCATGCCTGTAGTCCCAGCTACTAAGGAGGCCGAGGCAGGAGGATTGCTTGAGCCTGGCAGGTCAAAACTTCAGGGAGCTATGACTGTGCCACTGCACTCCAGCCTGAGTGACAAAAAAATCTAAAAAAAAAAAAAAAAAGCCCACCAAAAAAACAAACTAAAACTTCATTAAAGTTCCAGTGTGTCTTCTATGATGAAAACATAATTTAAACATGAAAAAAAGAAAAATTTCAGTCAAATGTATCCTAAACTACAGCTTGTAAAAGGTGGTGGATGGTTCTGGAGAGATCATCTAACCCAACTTCTTTTCTACAAATAGGGAAACTATGCAAGAACTAGAATTAGAACCAAGGTTTTCTGTTGTAATTTGGGGTAAAATAATTTTGAGGAGCTGGATAGATCTTATGAAAGAATATTGTTTATAGTGTTAGAGATAAAGATACTGACGCCTGGTGGAATCAGCAAAAACTCTTAAGAGACTGGGGCTCAAATCCCAGCTCTGCCAGCTGTATAAGTTTAACAGCAAGTTGCTTAACATCTCGAAGTCTCTGAAAAAAAAACTGTAAAAAGGTGATGCCTCTTTCAAGGTAGTTCTGAGGATTACATTTTGAAAAAAGTAGGTAAATCTTAACCTCCTATCACACACGTTCTCAAATGACTTCCTAGGATCCTCCAACCCAAGCGTACTTCTTGCACAAAACCTCCCGGCTCCCCCCAGCTCCCTAGTCATCTTGGATGAGGAAGTCGGGTGCACCCCAGGGCTGATCCCACAGGAAGAAAAGGAAGAGCATCTGAGCTTCTGCCCCAGCTCCTAGTAACTGAACCCGTGGGCCTTAAGGTCTCTGCCGATCCTTTGTCAAAGGTTAGAAAGGCCCACACACAGTCCACTCTTCCGATCCCATTTTACAGGTGGTAAACTGAGGCCCGAAAGGGGACAATAACTTGCCGGAGGTCACTCGGCGGGTCTGGGAATAGGCGCTCACTAGAGGACACTGCAGGGGCAGCTCTGCGGTCCCCCAGGCTCAAGCTCTCCATCCCAGCCGTGCCTATCGAACAGGCTCCGGCTGCAGCAACTAGCCGAGCGCTACGATGCCCTAGATGTGGGGCGGAGTTAGATGTGAAATCTTCTCAACGCGCGGCGCTAGACTGCAACCGAGGTCTGAAGATCGCAAAAGCGCCCCGACACCGCCGCTGCTTTTCGGCCGCCCACTCGGCTACAGACGCCATTTCCACGCTCCACCAATCAAATCCATGATTGAGGAAGACGCACCGCCCCCACACGCCCTGACCAATCGCGCGCTCTCCGGTTGCGCCGGCGCCTTCTGGACTCCGGTTCCACCGTTGCTTTTGCTTCTTTGCTCGCCTTCCCTTTCGGACTTGCGCGGTCGGAAAAAGGCGCGCTCGCGTGCAGCTTACTGCGCATGTGCGTTGCCAGGGGTAACGCGGGGAGCCAAAGTGGTTTGTGGAGTGGCTACTGTTACTGGTTACTGAGGCGGTTGCCGAGACTGTCGCAGAGACTCGGAGGAGGAGCCCGAGGCGTGAGGGAAGCCGCGATGAGGGCCGTGTTGACGTGGAGAGATAAAGCCGAGCACTGGTGAGGAGCGGGGCGATCCGCGAGGAGCGGGAGGCCGAGTCCCCGCGGGGACTGCGCGAGCCGCTGCGGCGTGTTTGAGGGGGCCAGCGGGCCTGCTGCCTGGGCCGAGGGCACTGAACCCCGGCTTGGAAGACTGCAGGGTCATCCTCCCACTCCTTGGCGGTTGGAGAAAATCCCGAGGTTTGGAGAGCGGCAAAGGGAGGTGCCACGCCTGTAGTGGCCGGTGGAGGCATCTCTGCCTTCACGGTCTGGCCTTGTCGCTGCCTTGGGCTCATCTCACACCCACGACACAGCACGAAGCTGCCCAAACTTCACAGTTCTTGCCACATCCACGTAGTGCCCATACTCTTGTTTACTTGACGTTTGTCTCTCAAGTGTCTCATTTATTTTATCTTGATTATAATTTCACATTTTACAAGGAAACTTTATTACCCCATTGTGAAAAACGGTGTCACTTGACCTAAGTGTAAGATAAAATCAGCGCCTCTTGCTCTAAGTGTAAAAGTAAAACCTAAAGTAGGGAGAAACAAAACTGAAGAAACTTTATCTAGCTATTGTTGCTAGGGAGCCTTTAAACTAGAGGTCTGAAGTCTCTAAAACTGGAGAATGGCAGGTATGATCAGAGAAGTGCTCAAAATGAGCATCAAACGCAGCCTCTACTAACTGGGAAGTTTGGAAAAGAATTGAAGCAGAATGACCTTGTCACCTTTTGATTCAGTTATTTAATATCCTATTCCATTGTTACCCCCTAAATCTGTCACATAACAGTCTATTTTGGCATATCCTTACTTATTGGATAGGTCTCGGCCTGACTTTGAAAATCATTCAGCATCGTTGTGAAGCCTCTGTTTTGGCCACTGGAGCAGGTTAGTTGTGTTGGTTCTGTGCATACTAAGGTCTTTCTCTGTGTAAAGCATGCTGTCTCTTCTCATCTCACACGGATATCCTGAACGTCTTCAAGGCTTACGTTGGAGATGGGTCCTCTCTTTTGTGCTTGGCAGTAGTGGTAGCTGACACTATGTGCCAGACTCTGGCTAAGCACGTCATATCCTTTATCTTGTTGTCTCTTCACCAGTCTCTGAGGGAGGTACTATAATTTCCTCTATTTAATATATGAGGAAACTGAAGCACAGAGAAGGTGGATAATTTGCCAAGGTCACACAGTGAGTGGTGGAGCCAGCTTTCAAGCTCAGGTCTTCCTCACTCCAAAGTCAATGCTCTCAGTCACTACATTAATTTTTCCTTATATTACAGAGGTGGCAAACTCAAATGTCTGTAGGAGACAGGCAGGTAACATAAATAGATGTTTATTTGCATCTTAAACACTAGGAACTGCGTATTTTCCCTAGGAATAGTCTTGTATGCTACACCCCATTTTTCTTGAAACACACAGCCCTACCAGTGCATCTTTCATTTCTACTTTTAATAGAGATTTGAGTTTTTAAAAATTATTTTACCTTTATTATAAATGTACCTATAGCACAAGCTGATAATAGCTGGCAACTGAACATTTGGCTTCAATACCAGAGAGTAATAGAGAGTGGCGAGAAGTATGGCAAACTGCAGAGCTCGTGCTCGCCCTGAAAGGGGCAGCTGCTGCTCAGCTCCTGCCAGTTACCACCATGCAGGAATTTGGCCTAGTGTGCTTGGCGCTTCCTGTTTTTACCAGAAGCTAGAAATCTGGGTTTTTGTGTGAAATGGCCTAATTTTTAAATGTTAGCATCTACTCTGAAAAAAAATAAAACACCATGTGAGCCAAGCAAAACATTTGCTGGCCAAATGCAGCCTGATTTGCTCTGTTTTCAACCTCTGGCCTGGAATTTTGTTCATTTCTCTCTTGTGGTGCTTCCAGAATCTGTTTAGTGTAAGTTAATTTTTTAAATCTGTTTATTCCAGAAATCTAATAAACCCTTTAAAGGCAATGGCTGTGTCTTACTCATTTCCAAATTATCCCAGAGCCTAGTCAGGTCAGTGGTGGTTGTTTCTATGGACAGTAATAAAATATTAGAGATGTATATATATATATAAAATGAAATACTATGGGTAGATGTATCATAAATGAATGAATAAGTGAGTGAATGAATGATGAACAAAGATTGGTTGTCTGGTTTTTGGCCCATTTCAGGTTTGAAACAACCTATTAGGATAAGGGATGTAGGGGTTCTATAGGCCATCAATCCTGATGGCTGCTAGATATACCAGCTGATAGCCCAGAATGAAAACAAAACAAAAAGCTAAAAAAATAGATAATAGTACTAAAAAAAATCCTAGATGTCAAAGATTAGTCCGCAACAACTAAACCAGCCATTGTCTCCCAATCTGCTCCTTCGTTTCTATTTTAACCTTTACATAGCAGTAGGAACTCTCTTTTTCAAGACCTGCTCCTGATCTACTTCTCATAAACCTAGAGTGATTCCCAATTGCTTTCCATGTCAAATTGTGCATTTTGCTAAAAGATCCTCCTGACCCTCCTCCCCAGTCTTGCAACATTAAAATTTATATTTTTAGGTTGAGCTGAAAACTCTATTTTCCTACCCAAAGATCCTTCCCTTATGCTCTCTTATTCTATGAACTCCCTTGTTTTCCCCCTTAAATTCACAGCTCCAGGTTTGTCTCAGCCAGGATGCCTTATTAGGCTAGCCTACCGTATTCTAGTCATGCTAGCATCTGCTGTAGCCATTCATGCCAGCAAGTATTTACTGAGTACTTGCTATAGGCCACATATCTTTATACATGTTATGTTTAATCTCTACATGTGAGGTTAGAATTTTAATCTCATTTACAAATGAAGAAATTGAGAGTTAATGAGGTGACATTATTTGCCTAAGATTACAAAATGAGTTAAGCGGGGCTGGGTCAGATTATGCAGGAGTTGGAGAGGCACCATGGGACTTCAGTTTACAGTGAGGTGGGTGCAGGGTTGTCAGAGGACAATTTGCAGTATTCCTCTGTATCTCTGCAATGGACTCTGACTGTGTGTCTTTTGACAATATATGTTTTTTATATAGAGAGGCAGGTGGAGAGAGAGAACCATCCTACAGTAGAGTAGACTGCCTGCAAATGAGTGAGCTCCCAGCCCTGGAGTGTTCAAGCAGAGCCTAGATGGCTATCTATAAGGAATTCTTGCCCTAATGGGGCAGTTGGACTGCATGACAAGGTCTAGAGTCCTTTCCAATTCTGAGTTTCTATATAAAGTAAATATAAGATCAATATATATTTGTTGGCTGGGCGCAGTGGCTCATGCCTGTAATCCCAGGACTTTGGGAGGCCGAGGCGGGTGGATCACGAGGTCCGAAGTTCAAGACCAGCCTGGCCAAGATGGTGAAACCACATCTTTACTGAAAATACAAAAATTAGCTGAGCGTGGTGGCAGGTGTCTGTAATCCCAGCTACTCGGGAGGCTGAGGCAGGAGAATGGCTAGAACTGGTAAGAGGGGGGCTGAGGTTGCAGTGAGCCAAGATCGCGCCACTGTACTCCATCCTGGGTGACAGAGCAAGACTCTGCCTCAAAAAAACAAAAACAAAACAGAAAAAAACACAACAGATTGCCTTGGTTTGAATTTTGGCTCCACTTCCTTCAGTAGCACTTTATTTTCAGGCAAGTTACTTAACTTCTCTGTGCCTTAATCTCACCTGCGAAACAAGTATATGGTTGGTTTGAGATTAACATGAGTTAATAAATGTAAATCATTTAAACAGTACTTGGCATATACAATAATACATGTGTTCAATAAATGTTAGACACTGTTATTATTAAAGTGTGAAGGATAACAAATTTGACATACTCGGCAGTAATTGAAGGAAGCAGAAGGCAGCATAGCATGGTAATTACAAGCACAGACTCTAGAGTCAGACCTGAGTTGAAATCCTAGCCCTGGCACTTGCTAGTAGTGTGACATCAGGCAAAGTACTTGACCTCTCTGGGCCATGGGATCCTCATCTACAAAACAAAGTGATCATTCCTACCTCACAGAATTATTGTGGAGATGAAATAAAATAATACAATTTAAGAGCTCAGCAGGTGCTGTTTGGAATAAGAGCTCAAAGTACTGTCACTGAGAGTGTACTTTTAGGTTACTGACAAATTTGGTTTTTAAATTAGTGGTGTAAACCAAAAATAAAATTCAAAGGCCCCCCACCCCCAACCATCTGAATGGACTTCCTCCTCAACCAGGGCTCTTTTAAAAATTTAACCTGAGATACTGTTTCAGGCCACGATGGAAATGGGGGTCAAATATGCCTCAGTATACGTCTCTGGCATTAACATCAACACCAACTTTAAGTGTGATAAGAAACATTTTACAAACTATCCTCTCTAAAGCCTGGTACCTCAAGGCTTCCTCTGCAAATAGTAACTTGGGTTGCACAATCCTTTTTCTTAACCCAGGCATGCCTTTCTGTTGACCCCAGGACTTTAGATAAACATGACCAATTATCAACCAGAAAAATTTTAAATCTACCTATAAGCTGGAAGCCCCCTGCTTCAAGTTGTTCCATCTTTCTGGACCAAACCAATGTATTTCTTAAATGCATTTGATTGAAGTCTCATAAAACCAAGCTGCACGCTGACCACTGTGGGCACATATTCTTAGGACCACCTGAGGACTGTGTCATGGGCTGTGGTCACTCATATTTGGCTCAGAATAAATCTCTTTAAATGTTTTACAGAGTTTTTTGTTGATATCGGCAAGTTTATCCTATGCTAAACTTTTACTATAGGTTGGGTTTTGTTGTTTGTGTGGTTTTTTGTTTTGTTTTCCTTTAGCAACTTCAGCAGTAAGTACACGCTTAACAATAGTCTGTTTTGACAGGGCTTGAAACGTTTTTGACGCAGTCTTACTAGAGTCCCTGGAACCAGTGAAATCCTCTGCCTGGGCATTTGAGAATCTTTGTAATATGGCTCCAGCCCATTTTTCTAGCCTCATCTCTCCATGTTGTAGCAGCATCTCGCACATAGCCAGATGTTTCAGTCAAATTAGATTATTTTAATTACTTGTGTTGATGAAAAGAATCAAACTGCAAAATATTTTAAGAGATTTATTCTGAGCCAAATATGAGTGACCACACCCCTCAGGAGGATCACAGAACATGTGCCCAAGGTGGTTGGGGTGCAATTTGGTTTTATACATTTTAGGGAGGCATGAGACATCAATCAAATACATTTAAGAAATACATTGGTTTGGTCCAGACTGGTGAGACAACTCAAAGTGAGGGCTTCCAGGCCATAGGTAGATTTAAACATTTTGTAGCTGACAATTAGTTGAGCAACAAAAAGGAATATCTAGTTAAGATAATGTATTGTGGAGACCCATGTTATTTACAGAAGAAGCCTTTGGGTACTAGGCTTCAGAGAGAATAGATTGTAAAATGTTTTTTCTTGTTCGTTTGTTTGTTTGTACCCCCACCCCCAACAGAGTCTTGCTTAGTCACCCAGATTGGAGTACAGTGGCACAATCTCAGCTCACTGTAACCTCTGCCTCCTGGGTTCAAGCAATTCTTCTGCCTCAGCCTCTAGCCTCCCAAGTAGCTGGGATTACAGGCGCCTGCCACCACACCCGGCTAATTTTGTATTTTTAGTAGAGACAGGGTTATACCATGTTGGCCAGGCTGGTCTTGAACTCCAGACTTTGTGATTCTGGAGTGTGAACTCCAGACTTTGGCCCCCCAAAGTGCTGAGATTATAGGCATGAGCCACCGTGCCTGGCCTCAGCTTCCCTATCTATGTTTGCAGCTCAATTTTTCAGGCTGCTGTTTGTTAGAAAAAATAATTTCTTGGGCTGCTTTTTGTTAAAGGAAAGTTCCACTGAAGACTCTGTTACTCTCACTATCTGCCTAAATAATTTCTTTCTAGCTCTTGTATCACTGTGTCTTCCTCCGTAGAATCCTATATGTTTTCGTGTATCTCTTAAAGCCTTTTATCAGAGTACTATTTTGTATTTCATTCAATCTAATAGGTCATTGATTATAATATACCATTGTTTTGTGTATCAATAAGAAAGCAAAAAATGCTGACAGTAACAGTGAAACATCAATTATGAGACACATCCTAACCTCAGAGGTGAGAAAATGTGAAACAAAAAATGTATGCTTTAGAATTGATGACTCATGGTAGTTCTTTGTGAAAGTGTCTGATTCGCACCTGTCTGGATGGTAATTTCCCTGAGGGGAGGGAGAGACTATGATCCATTCATATCTGTTGGTGCCTAGCACCTAAGAGGGACTCAGTATCTGTAGATATACTGGCCCTCACACAGTCTCTCAGGTTGTCTAGTTTTCATGGTATTATTTTAAGAGTTAGTACCCTCAACTGTCGACCCTTTGAATAATTTTTTATGTCTGGCTTCTGGACAAGAGGAAATTGGAACAAAGAGCTAACTACTGAATGGATCACGATTGAATGGGTTTCTGTGGTGTAGCGGTTAAATGGAATTTGCAACAAATGCACTTCTTAGTCATTCTTTTTCTCCTCAGCACACATACAGTGTTTCTTAATGGAAATAAAGTTTACTTTCCTGGCCATTAGCAGACTTCATCATTTTGGTTCCTAATTGTCTTTTTGTCTTGTCTCCTGTTTAGTATAAATGACATCGCATTTAAGCCTGATGGAACTCAACTGATTTTGGCTGCTGGAAACAGATTACTGGTAGGATTTTGTCTTAGTTTCCTCTTAAAAGTACTTCCCCCACCTCCTTCTTATAAGTACTTTGAAATTTGACCCTTTTGAGATAAAAAAGGCCAGGGTGAAAAAACCTTCCCTATTACTTTTTAATAGGGAAGGAAATGGTCTGTTTAAAACAGGCAAGTAAACTATCAGATAGGAAGCTGGGAATAATACCTCCTTTGGGATCATTAATCTTTCCCCTTTTACTTTGAGACACCTATGAAAGAGTTGAAAACAATTAATCACGATGCCTTTGAAATTGGACTGGTGTCAGTTTATATTTTGTCCCTCAGAAAAATTCAAGCAACAGGACTGAAGATGCTCTGTCCATGAAAAGTCAGATAGCCTGACCCCAACTTTTAGGCATTGGCCTACCTAAACAATTCCGTATGGATATTGTCCTATTTTTCATATTTTCAAAGAACATAAACTCCCTCTGGAACCTATTCAGGTGTATAAAAGTAATTTTCGGAGAAACCCTTAAGTTTGACCTAAAAACCTTTGTATGATCTCTCCTTCTGCCTTACTTCCTCTTCTCTGTTGTCTCTAGATACACAGACTGATTAATCTCCATTCTTTGTATGGTTAACTACATAATCTTAAAACATGGTTAAATTGTTCCGCAGACTTCTCTCCAGTGTAAATAATTCAAATCCTTTTAATTTTTCTTCATGGATTATCTTTTCCAACACTCTAACCTTTTTGGAAAGTTTTGCCTTGATTTCTCAGGTGGTGTATTTTTTAAATCTCCACAGTGATAGCTATCACAAAGCTATGAAATATCTTAAATCCATATTACAGCTGAGCTTTATTTATTAGAGACAGGGTCGTGCTCTTTTGCCAAAGCTGGTGCGCAGTGGTGCAATCATAGATCACTGCAGCCTCAAACTCCTGGGCTTAAGGGATCTTCCCACCTCAGCCTCCTGAGTAGCTAGGATTGTGGACACACACCAACTCGCCCACCTAATTTTTAAATTAATTTTTTTTTTTTTTTTTTTGTAGAGATGGGGTTTACTTTGTTGCCCACGCTGGTCTTGAACTCCTGGTTTCAAGCAATCCTCCCGCCTCAGCCTCCCAAAGTGTTGGGATTACAGGCATGAGCTACCATGCCTGGCCTACAGCTGGTTTTTGTAACATTCCCTCCTTCTTGAAAACCCAGAGTTCTGTGACTTTCAAACTCTTGGTAGCAAATCTCTCTATTATGTTGATGTAGTTCATGGCTGGCACTAAAATTTAATCATGTTGTTGCTGGCTGTTTTTATGGGCTGGTTTTATTGAGGAGGTCCTGCCTTGATTGGTCATATATCCAAATTCAGGTAAGGAGTGTAAAGAATTTCCATGGAGTGAGTAATTGAACCTTTGGTTCTCAAGGATTTGTGGTATATTCCTGGTCACATAGTGCATAAGATTTGGGACCTCTACTTCTTGGTTACCCAACTTTAAGTCACATTGTTTCTGGTTTTGCAGTGTAGTTTTTATTGGATACAAATTTAGAATATTGGTACATGTAGTGTTATAAAAACAAAAATAGCAGTGGCAACCCTGTAGGAATTCTGACTAATAGATATCACATGGATACTCTGTATTTGTCTCTTTTGCCAGGTTTATGACACCTCTGATGGCACCTTACTTCAGCCCCTCAAGGGACACAAAGACACTGTATACTGTGTGGCATATGCAAAGGATGGTAAAAGACTGCTCTGGGTTTTCATTCTCTATAATGGCCTCATCATTGTTCATTTTTCTCCTTAGTCACTTTTTAATTATTTGTAGTAAGCTAGAGTACAGCTTGCAAGTTCAGAAGATAGTGAAGTTGCTTAGACTTCAATTCAGTCATTCAATCCAGCAAGTGTTTATTGAGGGCATCTACGTGCCAGCACTGTTCAAGGTGCTTGAGATACTTCAGAGAAAAAAACAATGGTCTCTCCCCTTATGGGGCTTATGTTTTATGGGGTGGTGGTGAGGAGTGAGGGAGGAAGAGAATATGAGGAAAGATATACAGTATACATAGTAAATAGGTAAATTAAGCAGTATGCTGGAAAGTGGTAAGTGCTATAGAAGAAGAAAATGTAGAGCAGAATTAGGGGAGTTGAGAGTGCTGGGCAGGGCAGGGGGTTGGATGCAGTGTTGAATTAGATTAGTGAGGGTGAGCTCATTGAGATAAGGACAGGTGAGCAAAGACTTGAAGTCAGGAGGCAGTGAGATTGTGCCAGTAGGCATCTGGGGTAAGAGAGCTCCTTGCAGGGGAAGAGCCATTGCAAAGGCCCTCAGGTGTGGCTGTGCCTGGTAGGAGCTGGATCAGAGAATCAGGGAATTATAGGGGATGAAGATAAAGCGGTAACAGACATGGGATGGGTCAGATCAGGCTGGCCATCATAAAGATTTTGATTCTCAGTCAAAATGGGGGAACTACTGAAAGGTTGTCAGTAGAGGAAGAATCTGATCTGATTTATATTTTAAAAGGATCCCTCTAGTTGCTGAGTTGGAAACAGACTGCAAGAGGTGAGGGTTGGGGCATCTGAGTTAGGAAGCATCATCCAGACAAGGGGTGAGGGTGGCTCAGACCTCTATGAGGGCAGAGGAGATGGTGAGAAATGATCAGACTCTGGATATAATTGGAGGGTGGAGCCAACTGGATTGCCTGACAGCTTGGATATGGGAATGTGAAGAGAAAGGGGGCAAAGTTTTTGACCTGAGGACTGAAAGGATGCCCCACCACTGAGATGAGAAAGACTGCAGGTAGAGAAAACTTACAGTTGGAGATCAGGAATTCAGTTTTACATATGCTGAATTTGAGAAAAGTTGATGATGTAGGAGAGAGGAGAGAACTGCTGGAACAGAGTTGTTGAGTAGGCAAGAGGAGATAGGATCTAGGGCATAGACGGGGTATTTGCTTTAGATAGGGGCATGGTAGGAACTGCAGAGGTCGGCAGATGGGGACAGTGTGGTAGTAGGAATCTAATAGAAATTCTCAATTCCTTCCTTTTTTTTTTTCAGTGAAGTAGGAAGCAACATCAACTGAGAGTAACAATGGGGAAGGGAGGTTTCAGAGAGTTGAGGAGAAAGGAAAAAGTGTAAAATCACTGCCTTAGAGAATGGGAGAGTGAGTGGACCCAGGAGGTATAGTGGGATCCCCAGTAACATGAAGGGTCGTCTTGAAGATTGTGATCATGAATTGAAAGTGAGATTAGTTGGTGTGATTGTGCCTTTTTCTCCAGCCATTTTGAGCTGCATAGTGGCAGAAGTGAATTTAACCAAAGGTGGTTTTGCAAGCACATTTGAAGGTGAAGTAGGAGGGCAAGGGAGCAGAAAGTGTATACAAAGAAATAATTACATACATTAACCTTGAACTGTTGGCTGAATAATGAGGGGACAGATGACAGCAGTGGAGAAGGAGTAGTAGTAGTAGTCGGGTTGAAGGATTATTGCAGTTAGTGTACCAGGTAGGTTGGGAAGGAAGGGAAGTGGTAGTCAGGGAATGGGTGCATGAAATTTGAGATTTAAATTTTTTAAAAAATAAATCCTTGCTACCCCAGAGCATGGGATTAGTGGGAAGAATATGGGCTTTGGAATGAGACAGTTGTGAGTTCTAATCCCAACTCAAAACCAGAATTCTGTGAGCTCGAGCTAGTTATTGAGTCTGAGTCATGATTTCCTCATGTGTCAAAGGAATATAGGATTATAGATAGCATTCTGTAGCCACTGCCAAGAAGTCATAAAGTCGCAATGTTACAGTGCTTGAATAAACCTTGGAGGTTATTCCATTCCCAGGTTTTTAACTTCTTTTGACTGATGGGCCTCTTTGAGAATCAGGTGGAAGCTTTAGAACACTTTCTAGAAAAATGCATATTGTTCATGTATATGCAGAATTTTGTGCATATAATTTTAGTCTGATTAGTCCATTTTCTTCACTTTGCCCTACATAAAGACATAGACAATTGGCCAGGCACAGTGGCTCATGCCTGTAATCCTACTTTAATCTGGGAGCCTGAGTTGGGAGGATTGCTTAAAGCAGGAGTTTGACACAGCCTAGGCAACATAGTGAGACTCTGTCTTTAAAATAAAAAGACAAGTCATATGTCTTGCCAAAGCCATGGCCCAAAGACAAAACTAATTTCTTGCTTCATAGTCAGGTGTGCTATACCATGGTATTCATATATTTTTGTGTGTGTGCATGAGTTTAAGTTTAGAGTAATGTTTTAGGGAGACCTGTGAGGAGGGAGCCTGGAGAGCTGAAGTGTTTCAGCGTCGTCCTAGTGGCTGTTGAGGAATGTGGGCGAGTCCAGGGCCCAGTATAAGGCCCAGTAGGAACAGAAAGCTATTGAACCTCTGGTGTTTATAAGCATAGCAGGGCTCTTTAAACTGCAACACCATTAAGGCACTTGCGGATGTCAGAGTGTGACCTGTCAGTAGTGGCATTTGCACAGCACTTTGCGGATTCCTGTTACATATATCTCATTTGACCCAACAACCCTCTGAAGCAGGCAGCAAGGGGACTCTTATCTCTGCTCAAAGATGAGAAGACAGACTTGGAGCAATTACAGGTGATGGTGGCAGAGACAGCCCTAACCCAGTTCCTCTGACTGCAGAGCCATCGTTCTTTCTAGTGCATCATGCTGCCTCTTCATGACGCCTTTATAATGATTAAGAAGTCTTTTACTCCTCAAAACTGGTTTTTTCCTCTTAGACCTGAAGGTTGAGGTACACTGAATTCCAGCTTTGCTCTTTAAGTCTACTCGTTTCTGATTTCTCCCTTAAGTTTAATAAGTATTTAATGAGCAACCATGATATAAAAGTATGTAAGACATAGTTGTATTTTTTTTTGTTCAAAAGAAACAATATAATATGGAAAAATAATAGAAATAGCTAATATTTTTTTTTTTTTTTTTTTGTTTGAGACGGAGTTTCGCTCTTATTACCCAGGCTGGAGTGCAATGGCGCGATCTCGGCTCACCGCAACCTCCGCCTCCCGGGTTCAGGCAATTCTCCTGCCCCAGCCTCCTGAATCGCTGGGATTACAGGCACGCGCCACCATGCCCAGCTAATTTTTTGTATTTTTAGTAGAGACGGGGTTTCACCATGTTGACCAGGATGGTCTCGATCTCTTGACCTCGTGATCCACCCGCCTCGGCCTCCCACAGTGCTGGGATTACAGGCTTGAGCCACCGCGCCCAGCCAAAATAGCTAATTTTTTTTTAGCATTGATTATATTCCAGGCCCAGTTCTAAGCAACATAGGATTGGGGGTGCCACTCCCTGTGCAATCAAAAATCTGCATGTAATTTCTGAACTCCCAAAAATTTCACTATTAATAGCTTACTGTTGACCAGAAGCCTTACCTGTAACATAAACAGTTAACACATATTTTTATATGTATTATCTATTGTATTCTTAGAATAAGTAAGCTAGAGAAAATGTTAATTGAGAGAAAAGAAAAATATATTTACTCCTCATTAAATGGAAGTGGATCATCATAAAGGTCTTCATTTTCATTGTCTTCAGGTTGAATAGGCAGAGGAGGAAGAGGAGAGTTGGTGATGCTGTGCCAGGGAGACAGAGGCAAAAGAAAATTCACATATAAAAGTGGACTCATGTAGTTAAAACTCATGTTGTTCAGGGGTCAACTGTATGTACACACATACATACACTCATTTAATCTTCACAACAACTATGAGGTAAATACTAATATTGTATCCATTTTTCAAATGAGGAAATGAAAGCATAGAGCTTTTTAGTAGCTTGTTTGGTTCATGCAGCTGATCAATGAGATCACCAAAAATTCTGACCCAGGGACCCTGAGCCCAAAGCTTGTGCTTTTCATCACCATCACCTGTTACCTACCAGGATGTGGGAGGAGTGATAGAAATAATAAGAGCAGTTTTATAATTTAGTATCTGCAGCAATATCTTGTGGTTCACCCTAATGTCTACTATTTCAACTACTATAAAAGGTACTTGGCCAGGCGTGGTGGCTCACGCTTGTAATCCCAGCACTTTGGGAGGCCAAGGTGATCAGATCACAAGGTCAGGAATTCGAGACCAGCCTGGCCAGCACAGTGAAACCCCATCTCTACTAAAAATACAAAAAATTAGCTGGGCATGGTGGTGTACACCTGTAATCCCAGCTACTCAGGAGGCTGAGGCAGGAGAAATGCGTGAACCAGAGAGGCGGAGCTTGCAGTGAGCCGAGATTGTGCCACTGCTGTCCAGCCTGGGCAACAGAGCTAGACCCCATCTCAAAAAATAAAAAAAAAGGTACTTTACAGATACTGTCTTAATTAACTCCCACAAAAATACTCTGAGGAAGATATTATTCCTTTGTGTTTCTGATGAAGGCATTGAGGTTCAGAGAACAGTGACTTGCCCAAGGTCACCTTCCACTTGCCCTGCAGATAAAGTCTAAAAGTCCTTAAGGTGTACAAAATGTGACCCATGCTTACCTCTTAATCCTTATCTCTCACCAGAGTAGGTGAAGACCTCCTGTTGTTTGCTGCCACGATACCGTGATTCTCTTCCAAATGCTTCTAATTGTGTAACGGTGTAATTAATAACAAATTACTTGTTATATGTTGCCTCTTTCCAGTCTGTTCCTTCATAAAGCACAAGTAGTATGAAAATGCAAATCTGATGTATCACTCTTTGCTTAAAACCTTTCTTTGGCTTCCCATTGCTTTAGGATAAAGAGCAAGGCTCTACTGTGCCCCTGAAGCCCCAAGAGATCCTTCCACAACCCACCTCACCCTTCCCTCAGTTCCATGCTGACTCCTCTCATTCCTTTAGACATGCCAGGCTTTTCCTGCCTCAGGGCCTTTGCACATCTGTTCCATCCATGTGGATGGGTCTTTCTCCTCTCTACATCTGGCTAAGCTCTGCTCATCCTTTAGGTCTCCACTGAAGGATCCCATCCTTAGAGAAACCTTCCCTCATCTAAATTAGGTCCCCCGGGAGATATTAACCAAAGAATAGTTTCAGTCAGACAAAAGGAGTACATTTTTGAGATCTGTTGCACAGCATGGTGACCATAGTTAATAATAGTGTATATTTCAAAACTGGTACAGGAATAGATTTTAAATGTTCTCACCATAGAAAGTAAGCATCTGCAGTGATGGTTATGTTAATTAGCTTAATTATTCTTCGGTGTGTATAGATATAAAACATCACATTGTACCTCCTAAATAATACTATTTGTCAAAAATAAAAATTTAAGTAAAAAAGTAAATCGGGTTCCCCAGTTATTACCTTTCATAGGATCTGTGTCTTACCATGTTGTATTTGTGTTAGATTAATTTAATTTGATGCCTACTTCTTACACTAGACTAAACTTTATGAAAGTAGGGATCCTGTGTGTTTTAATCATTACTTGATTTCTAGCATAGAACATGACTGCTACATTTAGTAGGTCCCCAGTACATCTGTGTTTACTTAGTGTCAGACAAAGCAGGTTTGGAACCCAGATATTTTGACTCCAAGTTCCTGCCTCCCAGTACTGATAAGAAGTAGTAAAGAAGCTATCACTTACTAGGTACCTTAAAGAACTAGTTTTCTAAAGAAGTCTCTGTGGGAAATGCTGGTTTAAGATAAATGTAAGACTTTCCATTTTAAAAACACTTTTAGGCAAGCGCTTTGCTTCTGGATCAGCTGACAAAAGCGTTATTATCTGGACATCAAAACTGGAAGGCATTCTGAAGTACACGTAAGTAACCATTTGGGTGTATGGTATTATGAGTTTGATGCTTATTGAGTAATTGCAGCAAAAGCCTCTTAGAAAAGATGTAGGGGAAAACCTTTTTCTCTTAAATTGAACTAGAAATGAAGCTGTGGGTATGTGTGGTTGGTATAGGAAGGTTGACTAGTGAATAAGTTAATGAATATTTCTTGGCCACTTACTGGTGTGGCCAGCACTGGACTAGGTGTTTTCATATAGCTCATCTCAGTTCATCTGACATTGCAGACTCTATCCTACCCCCAACCTGTCATCTTCCAGTGTCCCTGTCTCAGAGAATGGCCTTATATCTACCCAGTGTCAAGTGTCAGAAACTTGGGGTGAGTGTGCTCCAGGCCTCCTCTCTCTATTGGGGATCTGCTATGTTCTTCCCCTCTTCCTCTACTAGTTAGTCCCTACTTACCCCGCAAATCTTAGACTCAAATATCACTTTCTTTCTAAGGGCTTTCCTGCCTCCCTAGACTGGGGCAGGTCTCTTTTGAGGCATTTGTCACAATCGCAGTTTTAGATTTATTCTGGTGACTGATCAGTATTGCTCATCAGCCTGTAAGTTTCATGAGGGCAGATACTGCATCTTTTTTTTTTTTCCTCACTCTTGTGTCCCAGATACCATGCTACCATGCCTGGCCCATAATTGATACTCACCAATTCTCTTCTCTTCTTCTGTTTTCTTCTCTTCTCTTCCCTCTTCTCCTCTCTTCACTCTCCCCCTCCCCTCTCTCCTCTCCCCTCCCCCCCCTCCCCCCCCCCCCCGCTCCCCTCTCCCCTCCTCTCCTCTTCTTTCTCTTCTCTTCTCTCTCTTTCTCTCTGTCTCTCAGGCTGGACTGCAGTAGTACATAGCTCCCTTGAACTACAACCTCCCAGGCTTGGGTGTTCCTCTTACCTCAGCCACCCAAATAGCTGGACTGCAAATGCATACCACGAAACCTTGCCAATTTTTACATTTTTTTTTTTTTTTTGGTAGTGACAGGATTTCACTTTGTTGCCCATACTGGTCTTGTTGCCCTCTCCCTCTCCCCTCTCCCCTCTCCCCTCTCCTCCCCTCTCCCCTCTCCTCCCCTCTCCCCTCTCCTCCCCTCTCCCCTCTCCTCCCCTCTCCCCTCTCCCCTCTCCCCTCTCTCCCCGCTCCCCTCTCCCCTCCTCTCCTCTTCTTTCTCTTCTCATCTCTCTCTTTCTCTCTGTCTCCCAGGCTGGACTGCAGTAGTACATAGCTCCCTTGAACTACAACCTCCCAGGCTCGGGTGTTCCTCTTACCTCAGCCTCCCAAATAGCTGGACTGCAAATGCATACCACGACACCTTGCCAATTTTTACATTTTTTTTTTTTTTTGGTAGAGACAGGATTTCACTTTGTTGCCCATACTGGTCTTGAACTCCTGGGCTCTCAAAATACTGGGATTACAGGTATGAGCCACTGCAGCTGGCCTCTTCTTTTTAATTGTGGTAAAATAGACATGACATCAAATTTATCATATTAACTACTTTTTAAGTTTACAGTTTAATAATGTTAAATACATTTACATTGTTGTACAACCAATCTCCCAAACTCTTTTATCTTGCTAAACTAAAATTCTCTACTCTTTAAACACCTACTCACCTTTCCCTCCTACTCCCAGCCCCTGGCAACCACCATTCTACTTTCTGTCTCTCTGAGTTTGACTGGTTTACATACCTTGTATAAGTAGAGTCATACAATATTTGTTCTTTTGTGACTGAGTTATTTCATGTAATGTAATGTCCTCAAGGTTCATCTGTGTTGTAGCATGTGTCAGCATTTCCTTCCTTATTTTTTAATTATTATTATTGATTTTTATTTTATTTTATCTTTGAGATGGAGTCTTGTACTGTCGCCCAGGCTGGAGTGCAGGGTCATGATCTCTGCTCACTGCAACCTCTGCCCCCCAGGTTCAAGTGATTCTCCTGCCTCAGCCTCTGGAGTAGCTGGGATTACAGGTGCCTGCCACCACACCCAGCTAATTCTTTGTGTTTTTAGTAGAGACGGGCTTTCACTATGTTGGCCAGGCTGGTCTTGAACTCCTGACCTTGTGATCCGCCCGCCTTGGCCTGCCAAAGTGCTGGGATTACAGGTGTGAGCCACTGGGCTCAGACTTCTTTCCTTTTGGAGTCTAAATATTATTACATTGTATGTATAGGCTACATTTTCTTTATCCATTCATCTGTTGATGGGCACTTGGGTTGCTTCTTCTTCTTAGCTGTTATGAATAATGCTACTACGAACATGGGTGTACAAATCAACATACTATTTTTGAGGGAATGAATGAATGAATGAGTGATGTAAGTAAAGTATTACCCACAAGCGAAGGAATAAAACTGTGGCTGAAATGCTATGCATGGTAGATTATTTGCTCAGTTTTCATTGTTGTCTAAGGATTTGTCATGTTTCCAGACCTTGTCTGTAATGCCTTCTTTGCACCTCCATCTTATATTTCTGGGCCTCCACAAAACAGTAAGAGGTACCAACCATACATAAAGCACCTAAAGGCCAAGGTGGGAGGATTGCTTGAGGCCAAGGGTTCAAAACCGACCTGGCCAACATAGTGAGTCCCTATCTCTATAAATAAGAAAACAGTGGGTGAGGAGAAGGTGAACTAATTTCTGTGCTTTTTGTTGGTCACTTGCAGAAGAGTATGTGGTCTATAGTCAGAAGCTGTGGGCTTATCATTAAAATCTTCAGTTGTAGCCACTGAAATGTTTGTGGTTTGCTACATAGTAATCTACAGTTGTTTACTTCCCAGGCACAATGATTCTATACAGTGTGTCTCCTACAATCCTGTTACCCATCAACTGGCATCTTGTTCCTCCAGTGATTTTGGTAGGTTCTGATTCCTGATGTCCTGTCTTGGAATAACTGAAAATCTGGGCTAAAAATGCTGGAATGCATTCAATATATG